TTTATTGCTCATATGCCCTAGTCTATTATGCCACAACAAGGTTTTATCAGTATGCACAACATTCACAGCATTCACAGAGTCAATATAAGGTTCAGCATGACACACATAAAGGTTGTTCACCTTCTTAGCTTTAAACAACACCAGAGAATTCTTCAAAATTTTCATACAACCATTCCCCCACTTTCCCTCTAATCCACTACCCTCCAAGGCAGCAATAGATAACAAGTTGTGACACAAATCAGGGACATGCCTCACATTCTTAAGAGTAAACACAGAGCCACAAGAAAACTTGAGACATATATCACCAACACCCAAAACATTGCATCTCTTATTATCAGCCAAGGAAACATAACCCATATCACATTTCTCATATTTAGAAAACAAATCCCTAAAAGGAGTCATATGATAGGTACAACCAGAATCAATTAACCATTCATGCTCATTCAAGGTATTACGAACAGAATTAACATGGTCACACACCATGAGAACCTCACCAAGGTCATCTCTCTCTATAGCTACACTAGCCTGCTCAGGTTTCTTGGGATGAGGACAGTCCTTTATAAAGTGCCCAGAATTGCCACAGTTGTAGAACACACGTTTTCTAGACTTATTCCTCTTCTTACCATTTGGGTTACTATTTTTAGCTTGGGCATCCTGTTTCTGATTCTTAGACCTACTCTTAGATCTACCCCTCACAAACATAGCCTCACCCGAATCCTTGGATTGACTAGATATACTCCTATTATGTTTAAGGTCAAGCTCTTTACTCTTAAGGCCATTCACAACAATATCAAGAGTGACATCATCTCTACCATATTTATTAGCAGATTTAACATCATTATAAGAATCAGGAATAACATTAAGCAACACAACAACAGTATAATCATCAATATGCTTATCACCACATTGTTTAATGTTCTGGATCAACTTATTAAAAATATCCAAGTTTTCATCAATGTCTTTGGTTAGGTCTAGCCTAAACCGAAAGAATTTTTCAAGCAAAAACAATTTACCAGGCAGAGAGGTGTCAGTATAAAGCTCATCTAACTTATCCCACAACTTTTTAGCAAAATCTAAAATACCAACCTTTCTAAGCACAGAGTCAGATAGGTTAAGATAAATAGTAGAGCAGGCAATTTCATTCATTTCAGCTTTCTTAGCACTATCATCAGAATCCAAATAGAGTTCACTTACAGCTCTGAAAACCTTTTGCTGGATTAAAACACATTTGATCTTTTGTTTCCAAATGTCAAAATCAGTTTTCCCATTAAAAGGTAACATACCATACATATTGGCAGACATAGGAGCAGACATCAGGGTGAACACAATAAGTATAACACTGAAAGTCAGTGGCAGAAGACAAGGTCAATGAAAGATAGCAAACAGAGAGACGGAGAACCAAGGAGCTAGGGTTCACCAGTGTACCCGGCTGCGGGCTGACAGGCCACGCAGATCCAAAGGCCACTAGAGTGACTGGCAGGGAACCTGTCAGTCCTAACCGCATGTGTCGAGTCACACAGGCAAAAAATCTCAGCTCACAAGGGTTTTCAGTATTATTAGATACATGTTTTGAAATTTCTACATGTATCAAAATGCAGAGCTAAGGGAGGGTTCCAGAAACAAGGCTAGCGGCAAGAACAACATCGGCCAGAACAAGAGGCAAGCAAACAGACCCACACAAGGAAGAGATGGGCTGCCAAGGCCTTATGGGCCAATACCTCCACACTCGTGAATTCTTTTCAAGCTCAAACTCAAGCATACCAATGTTCGTGCCCGGGCTCAGCTCATTTGAACCTCTAGTTTTAACATCTCCGACCAAAGTATATATTTCCTTCTTTCTATTTTATTTGTAACATTTCTATTTTCACGTTTGTCAAAACAAAATTTTGAACATTTAATTAGGTAATGGAAAAAAACTATAAAAACAACATTTTCTGGAAAAACAAATGAGAAGAATTTAGTAATTTTTTTAAAATTATATTTTCATTGCATCAGTAAATAAAATGTTATCAATTTAAATAGAGATGTGAATAGCATAAAATTTTAACATGTACTCCGTAGTACTCCCTCCGTCCCTCTAATATTGGGACGGAAGAGTGTGGTGTGGTTTTTAAGAAAGGTAGAATTATGTGGTTGATAATGAGTTGACAAAGTGGGAATAAATCAAGAATGAATTAGAACCACACAAATGTTATCAAATAGGGTATGAGACAATAATAGAGGGATATCAAAAAATGAAAAAATGATACAATTATAGGGTGACGGAGAGAGTAATTATTTAAGAACGAATGTAAAATTAACTTGTAGAAGACACGGGAGATAAACAAGACGTCAGGACTCTCTAGAATCAAGAGTATATTGTGGTTCACTACAAGTACCACGAGATATTATGTATAGTTTTTTTATATAAAAAAAGATATGAGCTATGTTGCATGAATGCCGTCAACCATTCCTTGAGCCAGTGGATCTGAGTATATGACTCACCAATCACATAAAGTTATCTGATACTTGGATGGATTATATTGTACGTGCATACAACTGTTTACCATTTTGCTTATCATCTCATCATTTCCATCAAAATAAACATATAATCCCTCTCGTTCCAAATCAAATTCACACTTTCCTTTTTGGGTATGTTCAAAATAAACTTCACACTTCTTCTCTCTTTCTAATTTGGCAAATTATCTACATCAAAGCAGTGCAAAACAATGTCAAACACTATCAAACAGTGTCACAATATAGTGTACTCTATAGTAAAGTCAAATTTATTTTCTTAATTTGTGTGAAGTCAAAGTGTGAATTTCATTTGGGACCGGAGTATGGTTCTATCTTACCCCGCAAGTGGGAGTAAACATCGAAATGCCCAATTATAAAACCCTTGATTATCATCCAAGCTAAGGTTATGTGATTTATAAAGGTTTCGCTTGATAAATCAATGAAACTTTTGTTTAATTACGTGATTTGTCATTTTTCTTTTCAAGATCGAATTACAAAGTATATTGCCCGATCACATTCATAAAGATTATGATTAAACTATAATTGGATTATCCTGATGATCAACTGTCTATCCTATATATATTGAAAGAATGATTAATTATGACCGGAATTGAATAACGGTAGTAGTAGACAAAAATATGATTTAGTAATTATTATAGTGACTTTAGTAACCATGATTGTGTTCAACTCTATTACTATATACTATAGTGACTATGCATATTAACTATGATAATATTTTTATCCAATAATTATATTTAGATAACCCCCTGTCCCATTATGATGTTCCAATTACGGTTTACGATGTTTGGCTGACGATAAAGCAACTTAATCCTTACTCACACTCTGATTATTTTTACTCCGTATTAAATAAAATTGACTACAAAGCCTGATAAAAAATGTAAATTTGAGAAAAAATTGATACATAAAGTAAAAGACTAAGAATTTAAGTTGACGGGAACTTTTGAATGGGACGGAGCCACGAAGGGAGTAATAGTTAAGGAAAAACTTCATATACTTAATATAATTAGTGATTTGTATGTAGTGTAAAGGTTTCTAGAATATAATATTTTTATAATACTCTTATTTTGTGTATTTCATTGTCCGATAACCTTAATTATGGAATACTCTGGGAAATAAGAATACATGCTATGCTGACTATACGAGCCGAGGGATATTCTCGGAATATAATACTCCGTATAGTATATGATATGAGATCGATAAGGTTTCCACGTACTTAGTGTTGCTCAACTTGATGCAATGATTCCAACAAATTGTAACAGTTTTAAAACCTTTACTGCTAGTATAGTGTACCTACTTCATTTCACAAAATTGAGGTTCTCCCAAAACATCTCTTTCAAATCTATTTGGTGGATTCAAAATTATTTAGGATCGGACCACAACACAATTGTGAGATAATGCGGATTTACTAGTTGACAAATGACAACTAGTAACAGGTTAATTATATTTGACTTGCAACGGTCAACATTTCACATTTGTCAACGCACATTTTTGACAGTAATTATATCTTAATTCTATTAGTAAAAAAATATTAAAAATAAGATTTATTTTGAAAATTTGTAATGAGATGAATTGAACAATATTTTTTTTAAAAAATAATTTTCATAAAATAATAGCGTAAAATGTAGTCAAAGTAGAACATGTGAATAGTGTAAAATTCAACATGTTGCGATTAAAATGGAACGGAAGATAGTTTATTATTTATAGGGAAAACATACTACGTAGTCTACTTTAAGTTTTGTGTTCTAAAATTTCCTTCCAATTATCAAGTGGTTTGATGACATTACTATGTCCATTTAAAAGAAAAAGTCTAAAGTTCAAGTTTCATCACAATGAAGTATATGTTGGCAATTAACATATAGAACACATACTATAATAGTTAAAATTGGATCCAAAACACTTATTTTCAATTCAACTTATTTCACTAAGGGTGTGAAATTATATTATACCTGAGTATGATTTTATATAGTTAATGTGATAAGAAAAGAATAGAATAGGAATATTATCAATTACATACACATACTATTGCTTAAAAGAAATTAGAAATAATTTTAAGGTATAGTGTTTAGAGTTTTAAGATTTACGTAGTACGGAGTAGTATTTTAGTTAAAACGCTTTATTTACACTTAAATAAAGTCATAAACTAATAATGGATACCTAGATAAATAATGTGACTAAATATATAATAGTCGTCTCAAATGCAAATAAATGTTCAATCTTTTTTTTTTGAAGAAAATGTACAATTTTTTAAACCCTAAATAAGAGTAAAAGTGGAAATAGATTTATATATAGCCACTTCAATTCACATATACTCTGTGTAACTGTGTTACATTTTCCCCACATAATCCACATGTTTGCCACATTAGAGAAATAAAATGTAATAAAATAAAGGGCAAATAAAATAAAATGTAATATACCCCGTTGACTATGTGTTTTGTTCATGCTATAAATCCTTGTGAGCCTCTCACGCACACTTGTAAGTCAACTCTCCTCTTAGCTAGCTTTCTCTCATACAAGTATATACTGCCTACGTACGTGTAGTTTAATTAAATCTAGCTAAGCTTATTAGCTAATGGAGATGGAGTCGTCGTCGTCGAAAAACGGGTTCCGAGGTATCCCGAGGACAGTGAAGGAGAAGGTGATGGGCATAACTAAGAATGTAACTAAGATGGGAAAAGATGATCCCAGAAAAGTTATGCATTGTTTGAAGGTGGGATTAGCCCTCACTCTCAACTCCATGGTTTACTATTACAAACCTCTTTATGATAGTTTCGGACAATCTGGAATTTGGGCGGTCTTGACCGTCGTTGTTGTCTTTGAATTCACAGTTGGTAAGTATGTTTTGCTTGTGCTTCTGCTTCTATGGGGTGTTTGGAATTGATTGTGCAGAAACAGAATCAGAATCACTTTTCGTAAGCTGGTCACCACCAGCTTCTAAAAAATTTGATTCTATGAGTGAATTAGAGCACCAGAATCACTTCTGCAATTTCACTCAAACACTCCAACTTCTGCTTCTGCTCCTTGAAGGAGCAGAAGCTGTTTTAAGAATCGGATCCAAACACCCCCTTACTTGTTTTCATGCCCGCCGATTATAATTTTTCAATAGATCGAGTAGGTCAAACATAAACAAATACACCAAAGTATAACTTTTTTAGCATATGCAGAATGTTTCAATAGGTGCCAAAAATGTCACAATATATCAAATGTAACATTTATTACTATGCTGAATCTGACTGGTGTTACAATAAATTTATTGTAACATTTATTGGTACAATAATGTCCTGATAGATATTATATTTTAGTCATTTCTATGATGCTACAAAATGGATGTTACAATAGACACTTTTTGCAAATACAAATTAAACTATATGGGTTAGAGTTTTTAAATGACAAATTGAGACGGAGGGAGTAGCTTATAAGTTTAATTTACGCTGTGGTTGAATTGTTTATTTTTGTTTTGAAATATTAATTATATTAGGTGCAACAATATCCAAGAGCTTCAATAGAGGTTCTGCAACGCTTTTAGCTGTTTGTTTGGGCACCGGAGTAGTTCACATGGCTGAGCTTTTAAGTCGAGAGGGTCAGCCATTCATGCTTGGCGTAATGGTTTTCATTGTAGGTACATACATACCTTTAATTTGCATCATTTATATTGATTTGCTTTTAAGATTTTATTATTGTAATTAAATGGCATGGGAAAACACATGGTTCATTTTTGCACAAATATAATGAACGTACTTCAATTCCTGCTTAATAAAAATAAGATTCATGCAGGACACCTTCAACAATGTTTTAACATAGGGAAATTTGATGTTTTAATTTCTTAATTTATGTATATTAGGTGTTTATCATTAATCTTCTAAGTTTATTCACCGACGTGTATACTATATATATGTTGTGATTGTTGTCATATACTACCTCCGACCCATAAAACTTGGGCAACTTTTCTTTTTTGGACGTCCCAAAAAACTTTGTCATTTCCATTTAAAGTAACAAATATGTGGCTAAAGTTATTTCTCTCTCCTCAGCACAAATATTAATCACACAATTTTTACTTTATTAATCTTTTTCCCTCATCTTTTTTTTCCTAGTTTTTTTATCCTTATATATATAAGCATTATTTGCAGCCTTTTTATTTTATCATTTTATATATATTCATCTTTTTTTATATTATCTTTTCATAATAGCTTATCTTTTTATCTTTATTCCTTCTTTTCCTTTTGGTTGTGATATCATGTATCGATTCATGTTAGCCGACCCCAATATCTTTTGGGACTAAGACTTGAATGTTGTTGTTGTTGTAATCTACGTGCAAGTCAACATTGGCCAAGTTTTATGGGACGGTGGGAATACTAAAAGAAATTGTCTTTTTTCTCGTAGGAGTTATACACCCTCCGATAAAGCCATCGTCCACTAACAATTAATGTTTTAAGCGATCAAAATAAATTTGTGACTATTTACTCCATTATGGAGGTCAACGGGAGCTCTACATCCTTATTTGTTGACTACTATACAACTTGTCATGTTCCATTTCTGAGATTTTGTGACTTTTAATTTACTTCACGGATTGTTGGGCCACTAACGCTTGATACATCACTACGAATACTTTCGAATATACACTTTTGCCTTTTGTGAAAGAGATGTTTCTAATCCTCATGTTACAAACTTTTCACTCTTAATAATTTCTGGCTCCTATAAACTGACTTTTTTAATCTTTCCAATATGTTTTTGACAAACTATGCAGATCACCAAAAAATATCATGATAATAGTTGGAAAAACAAATGTCACATTTAAAAAATAATAGTGTAAAAGTTAAAAGTGAAAAAACTGAAAATCATGAAAGTGAAAGTGTCAAAATCCTTTTGGTACATGTATCAAAATGGGGTGAGACCAGAGTATGTAGAAGGCATACTTTAACTTTTGAAACTATACCTTTTTTTATCCGCGGTCAGGGGTGGGCCGGGGGAGCTCGAGGTAAACATGCCTGAATGTGAAGTTTCAAACACGAGACCTCTCGTAATTCCATCGCTTCATCTGTACCTTTTCAAGTATTGTATATATTTATATATATATATATATATATATATATGGGGTCCATGTATAATGAATAAAGGTTAATGATTTGGTATGCCATTATGTACATATACTACAGCTGCGGTATCAACATTCACAAGATTCTACCCCCGAATAAAAAGGAAGTATGATTATGGAGTGGTGATATTTCTTCTCACATTCAGTATGATAGTAGTGTCCGGTTACCGAGCGGAGGAAATAATAGAGATGGCTTATCAGCGGCTGTCAACGGTGGTCATCGGCGGCTCCATCTGCATAATCATTTCCCTTGTCATCTGCCCCGTCTGGGCTGGGGAAGACCTACAAAACATAGTCGCCGCTAATATTGACAAGATTGCAAACTCATTGGAAGGTTAGTACAAGACAAAATTATTGAACATTTTTATATGCATTGCTCGTTGTTTATCAATTTACATAATGCTCCGTAATTATATATTTTTTCAGGATTTGGAAATGCATATTTTGGGTATGAAGAATGTAACGATAATGGAGTGGTGATAGACAAAGGTAGCAGTCGTAAGGCGGGTTTTGATGTAAACTTTTGTAAAAGTGTCCTTAGTTCTCAAGCTTCCGAAGAATCTTTGGTGAGTCGAGCACATTTGTTATCTCTCTCACTCATAATACCAGATGTAAATGGTAATGGCAAATCTTTTTGGAATATCAAAAAAAAAGAAATTTGGTCAACCTTTACGGGACGGAGGGAGTACAATTTTTTGCAATTTGTATATCGGTAGTTAAAAAATGATCGTTACACACTCTTTCTTGACTATATATAGCTAATAATTCCGTGCTTAAAATCATTAATTTTATAGGCAACATTTGCGTGGTGGGAGATGCGTCACGGTGGTGTGTTTAGATCTAATCACCTATTGAAGCACTACTTAAAGGTGGGAGGTCTTGTGAGGCAATGTGCTTGCCATATTCAAACCCTCTCTACCTACTTAACCTCTCATGATCGACCTCAGGTATTTGTTATTTTTTACTCAACTACGATCATAAATTTTCATTTTATTCTTACTTTTTGAAATTCTGATCCAAACTGACATGACAGTAAAAGCTAATAAATTTATGGTAGATTCTATGATACCTTTAAGGTACCATACATTTGTCAAAATGGACCAATCAGAATGTTGTCGTTGAAATATTTAAATCTAAATTAAAAATGATATAATGATTTGGAACAATCAAGTGAATGGTAGGTACGGTACCCCAAATTTTTAGGTGGGTACCGGGTTGTCACCTAAATTTATTATATTAAATGTGGTGCAGGCTGGAATAGAATTTGGGAGGACAATTAAAGAACCATGCACGCTAATGTGTATCGAGTCAAGAAAGGCCTTGAAAGAGCTATCATCGACCATCAAATCCATGACACAGCCATCCCCAGCCCTTCAAACGCATCTGCAAAACACAAAAGCAGCCATGGATGACCTTCAAGCTGCATTTCAAGCCGCTTCCACGGTCAACGCGAGAACGAACCTTCTTCAGATCCTGACCACTCTAACTGTGGCATCCATACTCAGCGACCTCACCAATTGCATCCATGACCTGGCGAGTTCTGTTCAGGAGCTCTCTGAGAAAGCACATTTCAAGAAACAATCGCTCAATCGTGGAACCACCGCCGTGAACCCGGTGGAAGAAGAGGAAGACGGCACGGTGATGGTTGCGGTGGTCATCGTTGGTGCGTCTCATCAAGACTCGCCTGAGATTGAACGTTTGGACGTGCCCAAACGCTAATTTATTACTCCCTAAGAAATAATCTACGTATGTACTACGTATTAATTAACACTTAAAACTAGGAATTATATGGCCTGGCATGTATATATATTTAAAACTTATGACCGTACTTTCCCGCCATTCTTTAATTCTTGGTCAATTAAAAAATGGCTACAATTTCATTTTTAAGCACGTTTGGTTCCTTTAATATACGGAGTATTTATTTCACATTGTTGTATTATAAATTACTTACGGAATACTTAATAACTGCTCCCTATCAATCTTCGTCACGTAATTGGAAAGGTTTCTACATTTGGTATTTGTTTTTCCATACTTTTGTATTTATTTCCCTCTTAGGAGTCTATTCAAGAAGATATCTCTCCATGTAATATTTTTGTAACCTCAGCTCATTCATTGATCAAATTAATGCAAATATTCAATTGCTCGATCACGGTTTTTCCTTATAGAACATTTGATCTTATGAGTGCATGTTGACGGTGGCGGACCCAGAGATTTGTGAGAGCGAAGGCATACTAGACACTAAACTTCGTCTATAATAAAAACTCTGGGACCGAACCGGGGCACTGATTTTTACCTTAAGTGTTACTAGTGAATTTACGGGTCCGAAGCGGGGCACGTACCCGGTGCCCCTCCTACCCTCTTAGGTCCTCCACTGCAGTGATGTTGAGTTCATACCGAGCTCTGATCTGATCTTCCATGCATGTTAGGGATTAGACGATCTATCTTTAAAGAACAAATTAAAAATGATGTCTCTCGACTCTCGTTGATTGGTCATCATATAACCGTATCTCTTCTAGTTTAATGTAGTTCTAAATAAAATTTGTTACTTTTTAAACACTACATATGCTCTATCGCCATTACTGAACTATAATTCTTTATGAATTACATAAAATAACTTTTTGTAATTCCACCGAAGGGGTAAAATTCATATAGAGTAACTTGAAGTCTTGACCATCTGCATTTGGCTTCTTACTGGTGCCTGACAAAATCGGAAAGTAATGATTCTATTTATGTGGCTGGTCAAACCAGGTCCATTTTGAGCAGCACAAGCAGTCACGGATATTAGTCTACATCCTTGCGGTGTTACCGAGCATGAAGATCTTTATGTCTTTTTTACATATTATGTCGTGTGTGTTTTTGAAAATATTATGTTGTGTTCGTTGGCATGAATATTCCGCATTCATTCGTTAAAGTTCATCCTCTTGTTGAGAGTTGAAATAGTTCATATATTTGTTGATTATTATTTTGGGCTACTTCACGATAGCATGCATGCATGTGCCGGAGACTAATCAACACCGGCTGGAATTATTTGTTCATTCTTTTGTGTATTACTCGTATTTTGTATAGATTTTTATCTAGCTGTACTTTGTTAGCCTTATAGCTCGAATCCTTCGGCAAATAAACCAACGAAAATTCTCCATGTTAATGTTACTGATTTGATAATATCTAGCTGTTTCAATAGGCAAATACTACCGTACAACCGGTTGTACTATACCTATGGTATGGTACAGCCCCGGTTTTTTTTTTAATTTAGTCCAACTCAAAGGATATTAATAAGCTTGGTGATTTTTGTTGATTTTCTTTCTTTTCCGCCGTCAGCCCTCCTCCTGAGTTTCTTGTTGCTTACTTTTTTCCGTTCTCTTCTTCTTTCTTTTGTTTTTCGTTGCTTTATGTTGTTGCTTCTCTTCTTTCTTTTTCTTTATTTTACTTGCTTTTTTTTCTTTATGTTTTATGTAACAATCTTTTACTTTATTTTTTATTCAACTATGATGATGTGTTATATAAAATACTCCGTATTATTTAATGTTTGAGTTTGTCTTTTTTTTTTTTCAATCACCTTCTAACTTAAGTTTTTTAATTTGTGCATTATAAAATATTTTAGGTATTAGTGTTTGTTTTCTATATTTTTAGTTTTAAGATGAATATTTCTTGGTTTATTAAATATTGTATGTTAATTACTAACATGTGTTTTGTGTTATACTAGTATAATTTAAAATAAATGTGCATCCACAATTGATAATAACGAATTTACTAGATAAATATATTATAGAAAACCGTTTGTGCTATATTTGAATGAGTATAACGATGAAAAAAATGAGCATACACAATTGAATATTTGAACACATTAAAGAATTCAAATGAGTTTTTGAATTTTTCAATGTTCATTTTGTTAGTACAGTGTGCTCATCTAGTATTGATTTTATTCTCATTTTAAAATGTTGTATTAATGCATATTTCAAAAGTATTAATGTTAGATCCCCATAAGAGTTAGATTATATAATGGGAAGAAAGGTCATGATATTCAATTGCATGTTTTTGATACTCAATCGAGCAAGTTTGATGTTCAATAAAAATATCTTGATGCTCAACTAACAAAGCTTATGATTTTCATGTCATTGCTCATTTGATAAGTAATGTGTCAATGTATGCTCATTTTGTACTGGTATTATGCTCAATTTAAAATGTTATATCAATGCATATTTGAAAAGTATCATGTTACATTATATTCACGTAAAAGTTGATTATAGATAGAGAGCACATACAATGATACCCAATTGAATGTTTCTAATATTCAATAGAGGATGTTTGGTGTTCAATGAAAATGTCTTGATTGATACTCGACTAAAAATACTTATGAGTTTCATATAAATACTCATTTTGTGAATTACATGTGTTCTACTGCTACTCATGTAATGCTCATTTTTAAAATATCATAACAATGCATATTTCAAAAGTATCATATTAAATTAGATTCGCATATTGAAATTAATAGAAATTGATTATAGATATAATTTAATGAGTTTTTTGAAAAGAAAAAAATAAGAAAAAGAAAGTGAAATACAATATATGAAGATGATATCACAATACTCATTATTCGACTCTTAATACTTAGTATAATGTGTCTGGCGCTCATTAAAAGTATATTAATGCTCATCTAACGAAAACCACGATTTTTACTGAAATTACGAAAATGTCACCGTTTTTTAGTTTGTGATATCAGCTTTCTTGTAATAACATGTTGCTCATTATTAGACTCTTAATACTCATTAATATTGGACTATTACTCATTAACATTACACTAATGCTCATTTAGCAGAAATCGTGATTTTTACATTAATTACAAAAATGTTCTGTACAGTGCTCATTGTACAGTCGGCTGTACAATATACGCACTCGTTTCAATACGGGGTCTAATAATGTAATCACCGATTCTTTTATAAATTGAAGCATGTTATAGTAGTACGAGTAAAATAGTAATACACACTTGAAAAAAATGTGGTAACACACACATATATATAATGATATATATTCGTTCATGTTTTCACACTTTGTTATTATGATATATATTTTCGTTCATGTTGTTTATGTGGAGTTTTTGAATTTTTAGATGTTATTATGATATATATTTTCGTTCATGTTGTTTGTGTGGAGTAGTACAAATTAAAAATAAAAAAACTAAAAACAGAATGTTCCAATCCAAGTTAAGGTGCGTGCTTGATTTTCTAAAATATTATGAAATACTCTTCGTCCCTTAAAACTTTGTCAACTTTTCATTTTTAGATGTCCCACTAATTTTGTCACTTTCCCTTATAAGTAAAGAGTTCATGATTCCAGTTAATTCTCCCTTTTCTGCATAAAACTCAACCACTGACAATGTTTTAAGAGACGTGTTGGAAGTAGCTACTTCTAAAAATCAAGGCCCTTACCGACCTGTTTTCCTAAATTGTAACAACAATAGGACCCGGACTTTAATCGATTGAAATATATGTTACCCACTCTCACATGTGATTTCACTAGTTTTTGTTAGGTTCCCTCTTTAATTGAGAAGTTTATGAGAATTCTAGAATATTGCGGAGATATCTAGAATTGTCTAGCTAGATGTGTGTAGAAACGTATTGAATGTTTTAGATTATTCTGGAGCTTTCTAGAGAGACGTGGAATTACCTAGAAGCGTGTGGAAGAGTGTAGAATATTCTAGAACATTGTGGAGTTTTCTAGAAAAGAGTGGAATTCTCTGGAATTGTGTGGAAGTCTCTAGAACATTCTCAAGCAGTGTGGAGTTCTTTAGATCCTTCTAGAAGATTGGAAAAACATGTGGATACTTTTTAGAATAGTCTAGAAGTGTAGTAGTATATAGAAAGTTCTTGACAAGCATTGATGAGATTTGTATAAATAGGGGGGAGACTTCTCATTCATAAGTGTGAGAGCCTAGCGAGAGCCTTTTGTAAGGAGCCTTGTGTGAGAGCCACCTTGAGTGATGAGAGAGAAGAGCCTCAAGGAGAGGTTTTGAGTGAGTGAGAGCCTCCATGAGAGAGGAGAGTGAGAGTGAAGTAATCACTAATCACACATACAAAGAGTGAAGTGACTACTCGTTTACTTGTAAAATATCTCTTGTACATTTCAATCATATAATAATACAAAGTGTTATTGTCATATGCAGCCTTTGTATTACGAGTGTGTGGGTGAGTATACAAAGAGTCTTATGAGCACGTGATCCTGGAAGAGGTTGGAGGTCGTGTTTTTTCCAATCGTTTTTGCTCATCCATAATCGTGGTAATCTAAATAAAATAGAAGGAAGAACGGTCAATTTCATTTATTACCACCAAAAAACATGAGATTGACAGATACTAGTCAAAATTGATAGAGAATTCGATAGATTTATGTCACATACGTGCCTATTGAATTCGTACAAAATTCGTGTCAATCTCATAATTGTTTTAGATTTAATTGAATTTAATGTACATGCACCATTTATCTTACCAACGAAATCCCTAGAAGAATTGGCCCGAGTTGTTGGAGGAATAAAGGAAATGTCGCATGCTTTAAGTCAATATTTTCCCACGAACACAAATTTTGTCCAATCTATGTTTTTTTGTTGGTCGTATTTGAAATTGAAGTCAGTATTGTTAAATGAATTTCTACTTTGTTGATTTGATCTCATCAACAAATATACTCTTAAACTTTATGTTTAATATAGAGGGGTTTTGACAACCAAAAAATAAATGAAAAAGAAATTAATATGGGGGAGTGGGCGGATGTGAGGTATGCGCAGAGAGGAAAATGGCCCGCGGCAGACTTGTTGCGCAAAGAAGAAATTGAGCTGGGAGACGTCATGGTGGCATCGTGATGACGTCACAGAGCACCAAAACAGCCAAAAAATATTCAAAAGAATTGGTAGATC